GGGCGGTTGCGGGGGTGTCTTTTGGAGAGGCTGTTCCCCCCCCTGTCCGGCTCCGAACCAGGCCCAGGAGGCTGCAGCCACCCGGGCCTCGCTGTTCTCCCGCCCGCCCGGCTGGCCGGCTGGCTCCGAGGCCGGGGCAGCTGCGAAACGCTCTGTCGGTTTTGGGGGATTTAAATAGCCCCCCGATATTTTTGGCGGGGGTTCAGATTTTTGTGTACACGTGGGGACTGCCCCACGTGTGCTTAAACCTCCCCCTGCCCCCCAAGTGCCCCCCTCTGTGCTGATTTAGATATCCGCACAGAGGGGGCTACTTCGGTATTAGTATAAGGATATGGAGCAGAGGTCCATCAGTGGCTCTTAGCCACAAGGTATAGATAGGAACTCTCAGTCTGGGGCAAGGGATGCTGCGCATTCTTGGTGCTTCAGGGGGAGGGCAACAGTGGGAGGGCTTCTAGTGTCCTGGCCCCACTGGTGGACCTCCTGATGGCCCCTGGTATTTTTCGCCACTGTGTGACAGAGTGTTGGACTAGATGGGCCATTGGCCTGATCCAACATTGGCTTCTCTTATGTTCTTATGTTCTTATAATTTAGAAAATATCTACTGGTGCTTCAGGATCTGGTTTTTTCCCCTTCAAAAATGACTTTATTTTATTAATTTTAGCTTGCAGAATTTGCATCCCGTCTTCTTACCCTTACAAGGGCCCCCGAGGTGGCTAACCACTGGAAGCATACATAATAAAATCACATTATAAAACCACACACGTTTCATGAAAACAATTTGTAAAAGAACAACACCCCCCCGGAATTAGAATACATTCAAAACGGAGTTAAAATACATACAGAACATTTTAAAGAAATGGATTAGGATGGAGGCGTCACTGGGGGAGTGGCGAATGGAACCAACAAACACTATTGTGGGAGACGGCAACAGAAGGGGACAGACAAAAATCATATATAATCTGGAGGCTCCCTAACTTCTCTTTATGCCTCATCAGTTTGGGGTTCTGGGTGGCCCAGGCTAGCCGGATCGCATCTGATTTTGGCAGCTTAGCAGCATCAGCCCTAGTTACTATTTTGGATGGGAGATAAAGCCAGGGTTAATTATGCAGAGGCAGGGAATGGCAAGCCGCCCCTGAACATCCCTTGCCTCGAAAACCATCACTGCAGATGGTGACTGCAGCCATGGAATTAAAAGACACCTGCTCCTTGGGAGGAAAGTGATGGCAAACCTAGACAGCATAATAAAAAGTAGAGACATCACCTTGCCAACAAAAGTCCATATGGTCAAAGCAATGGTATCCCCGGTAGTGGTTTGGTGTAGTGGTTAAGTGTGCGGACTCTAATCTGGGAGAACCGGGTTTGATTCCCCACTCCTCCACTTGCACCTGCTGATGTGACCTTGGGTCAGTCACAAGCTCTGGCACAGCTCTTCCTGAAAGAGCAGTTTCTGTCAAGAGCTCTCTCAGCCCCACCCACCTCACAGGGTGTCTGTTGTGGGGAGGGGAAGGGAAAGGAGTTTGTAAGCCGCTCTGAGATTCCAAGTGAAGGGCGGGGTATAAATCCAATCTCTTCTTCTTCTTCTTCTACTGCATGGCTTCGAGAGTTGAACCATAAGGAAGGCCGAGTGCCAAAGAATAGATGCTTTCGAATTATGGTGCTGGAGAAGACTCTTGAGAGTCCCTTGGACTGCAAGAAGATCAAATCAGTCAATCTTAAAAGAAATCAACCCTGACTGTTCCCTGGAAGGCCAGATAATGAAACTGAAGCTCAAATACTTCGGCCACCAAATGAGAAGGGAGCACTCACTGGAGAAGACCCTGATGTTGGGAAAGACTGAAGGTCATAGAAGACGGAGACAGCAAAGGATGAGATGGTTAGACAGTGGCAGAATCTGCATTTGTCTTTCCCACCAGTGTCCCAGCCTTTTGACTCCGTCTTCAAAAAAGCTGTCTACATTTGGTGTTTTCACACCTCAAGAGTGCTAGCATACTTTTGCACATCCACATACGTTTATCATCCTTTGGGGCAGCTCCACTGTCACTGCACCTCCCCACTGTTTTAAAAGAATCTTCTCCAAACAACATTCAAACAAGCATAGAGAAAGATGGCATCACAGCAGCACGAAAATGATTTAAACATGCAAAAGCAGATCCGGCCAGTGTTATTGATGCGGCGAACATGAGATTAAGAAAACTCCGGAGAACTGCGGAAGACAGGAGGGCCTGGCGTGATGTGGTCCATGGGGGTTGTGAAGAGTCGGACTTGACAGTGCAACTGAACAACAACAACAACAACAGCACACACACACACAATTCTAGGTCATTTGGTTTTTCTGCAGGGGCAGACCAGACCACTGTAGTGATTGTTGTGATTTAGAGACACATCCTTAAAAGGAATATAGAAGATGGGAGTTTACAGAAGATCACTGATGGCTCGATAGGGAAGCAGCAGCGAACAGTTAGGTGTAGTGGTTAAGAGCAGTGGACTCTAGTCTGAAGAACTGGGTTTGATTCCCCACTCCTCCACATGAAGCCAGCTGGGTGACCTTGGGCCAGTCACAGTTCTCTCAGAGCTCTCTCAGCCCCACCTACCTCACAGAGTGTCTGTTCTGGGGAGAGGAAGGGAAGGCAATTGTAAGCTGCTCTGAGACTCCTTTGGGTAGTGAAAAATGGGGTATAAAAACCAACTTTTCTTCTTCTTGGCATACGTTCAGGAAAGCTAGAAAAACACTGTGTGCATTTAGCAACAAACGATTACAATGACTTTTACTTTGGTGTGTCTCCAATACAACTGAGCCCATGTTCTCCAAAGGAAGCACTTTTCTGCTCACTTCTCTGTATGCCCTCTGCCACTTACAGTCTGCAGCTGTTCCCCCCTAGCCAGCAGGGATCGTCTTTAAGCTCCCATCCTTAAAAGGATATGTCTCTATATTATAGCAATCACTACAGCTACCAAAGCATCATATTTGTACACACTAGATATGCAGGATATATTTACAAGCAGGCTAATGTCATGGGTTGAAAAGGGGGAAAGCAACTTCTTTTCAAGATAAGTTATTTTTTTCTGCATAGGTCAAAAACTTACAGCTCTGTTGAGAGTAGAAAAGAAGGC